GTGTAAAAATGCCTACAATTAAGAAAAAGAGGAAAATAAGATAAATTTTATCGTAGTCTATTCTCTTTACATTCCTGAGATGGCTCACTGTCAGTTTTTGAGAAGTCAGGTTTTCAATGCACCTTTGAATTGCAATCTAGTTTTTTCCTCCTCCTCTTTCTTCTCCGCCTCTTCCTCCTCTACTTCCTCTTCCTCCTCTTCTTCCTCTTCCTCCTCTTCTTCCTCTTCCTCCTCTTCTTCCTCTTCCTCCTCCTCATTCTCCTCCTCATTGCCCTCCTCATTTCTTCCTCTTTTTCTAGAGAAATTTATATTAAAAAAAAAAAAACGAAGTGAAAAACCAGACAAGCAACATTCAGAGTCCTGTGTGCTTCACAAATAATATGATACAATAGCAAGTGGCAGCTCGGTTTTGTCAGGTGTCTGATCCAGGACTTTTTGTTTCCATCTCCCAATGGCACAGGTGGTGTCAGGCGCTCAGGTCAGCCCCGTCGCTGGCAACCGCCAACGGAAGATCGTTCTCGGTGTGGTTGTGTTTTTGATAACATTTGTCGTCTGTATTGTCATCATGACAACCATGTTCCGTGGATAACCTCGCGAGGATGCACACATTCAGGTTTTTGGTTTGTTTCTTTTTTAAAGTGTGGGTGTTTTTAACCGTCCCCCGTCGACACAATTTAGATCATTTAGGTGGTGGGCTTCCGACCCTGCCTGTCAGAGCCGACCCAGGCTGAGAGGAATGAAACATCCCTGCTGAAAGATCGGGATACTGGATAACAATTTCTCCACACTCGGGGATCGAATTAAGGTCTTCTCCTGCGCGAGATTGCGAAAAGCCTAACCGCTACACCGCAATCACTGGTTCTGGTAATTATTCTGCAAAGCTTTAGAAAAGTTGCTGTTTGAGAGAACCCTTATTGTTCATGATGGTTTTTAACTCTTTTATCTCCGAGGGGGGGCAAATAAACCCACTTTGTCGAGGCCCTTTTTTTGGTACTAAATCTGAAAATGCCAGAAACGTCACTAAATGGGTCATTAAACCCACAAATAAGTGAACCTATTTCGATGGTGCTTCATCTAATGAATGAACTTTTGGTAAAGGAAACCTGTTTTTGGTAGTTGCCTAAAAGTAATTTGATGGAGTCGTCATAAAGGAATGTACCCGAGCTGCTGCCAGCGGCTCACCGGCACAGCAATTCCAACGATGACGGCTTGCTTGAGATAAAGAGTTAAATAACCTTTCTTTGGTAAAAGTTGTATGGATGTGAGGCACGGAATGCATCTCAGACTTGCATAAAGAGGATCCAGGTTTTCTAGGACTAGTGTCTAAGGAAGTTACTGAGGATCAGGTGGACAGACAGGGTCACCAATGAAGAAGTATTAAAGGGAATAAGACAGAGCCCAGTCAGAGATGAAGTGGGAAGAAAGCGAGCGGCAATGGACTGGACATACTCTCAGGAAGTCGGGCAGCTGCATAACAGGGAAAGTGTTGGATTGGAATCCGCAGGGTAAAAGATCAAGGGGAAGGCCATGTGGAACCTGTAGAAGAGTCGCAGAGAATGATGGACAGAAAAGTGGGAAGACACGGAATAACACCAAGAGGCTAACTCGGAATAGGGAAAGGTGGAAAGAGTTTTGTTGGTGGCCCCTATACCCTGATCCAGGGTGAGAAAACAGTGACGGTGATGATGATGGTGATGATGATGATGATGGTGATGCATGTATGCGACGATGAAGCGCCTAACTGCTACACCACAGACTCTGGTTATGGTTGAAAAAATTATTGGGAGTTTCATAATCTGTGGGTTTTGGTAGCATTTTTTCAAGAAACATTTTGTTAAAGTTCAAATTCTGAATGTTTGGGAAAAAAGCAAAGAAATTTGTGAGGCTTCATGGTGAAATTAGGTGCTCATCAAAATAATGAAATTTAATAAACCATCATTTTTCCGCTGGTTTTGGCAATTGGCAATTTTTATCGAATTTTTGTTTTTTTGTCTTAACACTTTTTCCGTCCATTTAAAAACACATTTCTGTGTGGATTTGTAAAAAAAACAAAAAAACTTTGATTAAGGGCACAAAAGTGTAAATTTACAGTTTTCAAGGACTCTTAAGTTATGCTAGTCACCAAACTCTGGCAACCCTTTTCTCGCTAATAGCAAATATTTCACTTCTATTCAAGATACATGAGTTTGTTGGGGGGGTTTTCAGCAAAAGCATGACAAATGAGCAAGCTTTAAGATGATACCAATAACTTTGCATGCTCAAAAGTTGATTGACGAGTGCCTGATTCCCCAGCATTGTGACGCATGCATACATAATGCAGGGTCAGTTTCTAAAAGAATAGAAGTTTTTTTCTCTTCCAGAATAATTTTGCTTTCTGAACGCACAACACTTGAACAGCATGTGGATGATATGTGTTTGTTTATGTTTGTGTTTATGATTTGTTTGCTTGTTTGGCTATGTCTATGTTTATGTGTATGATTTGTTTGCCTGTTTGGCAATGTCTGTGATTGTATTTATGATTTGTTTGGCTGTGTTTATCTTTGTGTTTATGATTTGTTTTCTTGTTTGGCTCTGTATGTCGTGGGTGGTTGGCGGGTGCTCTGGTGTGGTTTGCTCCTTCTTTCCTATAAAAAATCTATGGTCTCTATCTCCCCTCCTTCTTTTTTGTGTTTGTTACTCTCTTGTAACACCTCTAATCTTCGGCACCTATATAACCTTATTGTGTTGCAAGTACCGTAAAACAATTACTAAAACTAAGGCTTTGTATATGTTTTTGTTTATAATTTATTTGGGTTTTGGTTTTTTTGACAAGCCAAGTCTGCCTGCACTTCCAGAGATTGTAGAGTGGGTGGTTGGCAGATGCTTTGGTGTGGTTTGCTCCTTCTTTCCTATCAAACATAGGCTATCGTCCTTATCTCCCCTTCTTGTTTTTTATATTTGTTACTCTTTTGTAACGCCTCTAATCTTCTGGCGCTCATATGACCTTACGCAGTTGCGAACGCCGTAAAACGTCTACTAAAACTAAAGAGACTGTAGGCTGGTGTGGGAGATTAAGCTGTGTCTGCAGATACATGTAAATGAGTGGGAAGTTGGAAGTTAAGCCTTGTACTTGTGAAGTTAAGCCTTGTACTTGTGAGGTTAAGCCTTGTACTTGTGAGGTTAAGCCTTGTACTTGTGAGGTTAAGCCTTGTCCAAAAGAGGGTGAATGTTGTTTTTTTTACTTGTGTGAATTCACACTGACAAACACACAACCTCTTGTAAATCCTCAGTGTCATTCATCGTTGTGGTGGGCAAAGGAGAAGAATCGTAGTTTTTTTTGTTTTAGTAAGTGTTTTACGGCACTTGCAACACAATAATGTCATATAAGTGCCGAAGATTACAGGTGTTACAAGAGAGTAACTAACACCAGAAAAGGAGGAGAGATAAGGACGGTAGGTGTTTGATAGGAAAGAAGAAGCAAACCACACCAGAGCACCCGCCAACCACCCACAGAGGAGAATCTCGGGAGAAGCAAAAAAGATCACTTTTACTTTGCTCAGGATGTTATTTTACTACAAAATGTTTAATTCACCTGAATCCGTTTCTATTTTTTAAGAAGACTAAATGAGACAACGGCTAATTAATTCCCCCTCGTCAAAACCCTACAACATTGTGTCATGACGTGGTGGAATCAGCGGCTCGTCATTTTTTGGGCGTATGGGGCTATTGGTATCATTTTAAAGCCTGCTCATTTGCCTTCCTTTAGGTGAAAGAAATATCCATCTATGTTGAATAGAAGTTGAAATATTTGCAATTGAGGGAGGTCACGGTCGCCTGGTTTCAGAGGTAAAATTAGTGAGAAAGTGGCCGCCAGAGTGTTGTAACTTACATAGTCTGAGAGTCCTTGGAAACTGAAGATTTACATTTTTTCTGCCTTTTTTGTGTTTTTCAGAAAATCCACCCAAAAACGTATTTTTACATGGACATACAAGGTGTTGAGCCAAAAAAAATATAAAAATTTGTTATTGTCCAAACTGGCCGAAAAATGCAGATTTCTTGGATTTCATTATTTCGACGAGGATCTAATATCACCACACTGCCTCACAAATAAGATTTTTTAAATTGACAGCCTACGACACAACGATGTCCTTTCATATACAGCAACCCTTTCATACACATGAATAGAATGTATCCGTCATCTGACAAAAGAATGCATATGTATGCAAAAAGTCAAGCACTGTGGCTGCTGATCAAATGTTTTGTTGATGGAAGAAGAATGAAGCTAGCTGAATAAAATGAAGTTTTTTTTAAAGAAATGTTTGTCTAGGTCAGTTGGAAATGAGGTCAACATCGGTGCTGTGCCACTCTTATTATAGGTAGTAGTGGGAGATAGAAAAGTTACGTTTTGTTTTTTTATAATTGTTTGCACGAATGAAGACTTCTGCCTTTATATACCATCACAGTTTTGTTTTTATTTTTTTTTGTATTATGTATATTTTATGTTACTCATTGTTTTTATAACTTAAAGGGATGAAGATCTTTGGTTAGGTGGTTAGTGGGTGCTTTGGTGTTGTTTGCTCATTTTTTCCTATCAAACATCGATGGTTCTTATCTCTCCTCCTTCTTTTCATTGCATGTTGCTTTCTAGTTGTGGTTGTAGTAACATGACTAATCTTTGCCACTCACATGGCCTATTTGTGTAGCAAGTGACTTAAAACTCTTACTAAAACTAAAGGAAGACCGTTGTCTGTATACGTAATGTACATGTTTTGTTTCTTTTGTCTGTATGCAACGTGGTATGTAACGTGGAGGGTGTTCTGTTTGTATGTAACATGGGTGTTTTGTTTCTGTTGTCTGTATGTAACATGGGTGTTTAGTCTGTATGTATCGTGGTGGGTCTTTTGTTTCTTTTGTGAGTATGTAACATGGGTGTTTTGTTTTTTTGTCCGTATGTAACATGGGTGTTTTGTTTTTTTGTCCGTATGTAACGTGGGTGTTTTGTTTTTATTTCCTTGTCGCAGGCCTATGGGACGACGTCCAACATCGGGAATCAGAACTCGAGAAAGATGTGCCTGTTCATTCTCTGCTTCATCGTCTTCTTCATCATTTTCTTCGTCGTTGTCATCACAATTGTCACCTAGGTGAACTTTGAACCCAGACCAGGGGGCTCCCCCCGTAGCTCAATCGCTGTCATGCTGGACCACGGAGTGGATAGCCCTGGTTTGAATCCTATACAGGGTGGTGTTTTTGAAGTGAGTGCAGAGTTTTCAAGGTTCTTAACCTATTTGACTTGGTGTTATATCACAGATGGACGGTAAACTCTGAGGTCCCCATCTCTTGAATATGAAAATATTGTTGAAAAGGACGTTAAACTGGGGGGTCCCACTTCTTAAATGATAAAATATTGTCGAAAAGGACGTTAAACTGAGAGTTCCCCGCCTCTTTAATAATAAAATATTGTCTATAAGGACGTTAAGAGCGTGCACTTACACTTCCCCTGACTTGATTGCTTTGCATGGAAAAAAAGAGCATGTTGTCGGAGCCCTTCCCAGTGTACTGTCGTGGGGCGTGAGAAAGTTATAGTAAGATAACGGAACAGTGGAAGAACTGTGAGCATGCCGAAGAAAGGTAGTCACTCCAGCTACGATTGTTTTGTTGGGGGGTTAGTTGTTCTGTGTGTGGATTTTTGGCTCTTTGTAAATGAAATTGAACCGATGTGTCTGCGGTGAACTGATGGTTGGGCACTTCACTGTCAGACGTAAATGATCTAAATTGTGTTGATGGGGCCGTAAAAATACGAATAGTTTTTAACCTTTTTTAATGGTGTGATTTTGGTCAAAAGAGACATGGCGTAGGTGGAGTGTCTTCTGTGAATGACTAAGGGAGCAATAACGATCAGGCTGTAGTGTCTTTAGGCTATTCCCAAAGGGGGGACATTTATCGTTCAAACGTAGTAGAATTGTAAATGGGCTGACTCATGTCACACTCATAACTGTGCCTGATCTAAAAACAGGGAACTGCTGCTTTTTCTTTCCTGATCCTCACTATTGTCATTTTCCTCTTTTTCTTTTGTATGTTTGTCACTCTCTTGTGACCTGCTATTTTGGGGTGCCTTGATAGTCGAAGCAGACCTTGTGCTGTTGAAGCTAGAGAGGTGAGCAGTCTAAGTCTGCTTCCCTGTAAAGACTTCTCTGTTGACATCCACCCCTTGGCGCTCATATGGCCTTATGCAGAGTTGCGAGCGCCGTTAAACCCTCTACTATAAAAAAAAAGAGTCTTGCCTTTCCCTGCCCCTTGAGAACATTCTCAGGTAGCTTTGTTATATAATATGCTGAGTCGGCTGTTCAGAGGTTCTGACCCTTACATTTGAAAAACATTTTCCTATTGCAGTTTCTTAATTAATCTATGGTATTGGTTACATGAAATATTTTGTCAAAATTCACATTGTAAATTGTAAGTTTTGAAGAAGGCAAGAAAAGATACATAAATTAAGTAATTAAGTACAATTGTTGCAAAAAAAGGTGGTTTTTTTCTGTGCGGAAAAATGTTGCTTTCTGTGTTTACACAGTTAAACAGCTTGTTGAAGATATGTTGCTTTCGTATTGAGGAATATACCAAATTATGCATGAATGCAAATGTGAGGCGTGGTGACAAAATGAGTTACTTCTCGCAATCCAAGAATGGAGATATCAGCCTGAAAATCGACACTAGGGTCTGATTTATAGATTTTTAATTGACACCATTCTGTTCAAGTTTACTGTGTCTTTTATTATTCCATACTTACAAATTTATGCAGAAGGCCGAGGAAGTTGTCTCACTAACAAGACAATCTCCAATGTCCGGATCGGATGCGGGAACAACTTCACTTTGTACTTACAAATTGTACAAACTCCATCCTATAAAGTTGATGTACCGATTTCCATATGGCTAAAATTCGAGAAGTAACTCATTTTGTCAACACAGCTCACAAATTATAGCACTGGTATGATGAAAGAATTGTGACATCTCTGTACATTTACTTGTGAAAGAGAAACTGCTGACCTGGTTATATAAGAGAATTCTCCCACAAGCAAAACTGTTTATTTACCAGTATTTCTAGTTGAAAAGGAAGAAAGGTTTGATCTGTCTTTCAATTAAATTTTTTAAATTTTTTTTATTTGTAAGCTTTGGGGCGTGCATATACTCATGAGGTAGACTTAGGTTCAGAGCAGTCTCAGAATGTTGTTCAGTCATGTGCCTTGAAGTGTGCACTCTGATTCAATTGTTTGGTATATGTGGCACAGCCAGGTGAACAACGCCATGACATGGGTAGTGCTAGCCTTTTCCTCATGATATAACATTCTAATTCAGCGGCCTCTTTTAAAATAGTGCAGGGTTGTGAATGAACGTTCCGTTAAGCCGAGATGTCTCATCAAATATTTTATACGATAAGTTATGTTGATGTTATTGAATGCCTCATGCACATTATTTATGAGAAAAATAGTAACACTGAGACGGTCTGGAATGTTTAAATCTAAAAAAAAAAGTTTTTTTAGTTTCAAAATTATTTTTTTTCTAAGAAGATGTGTTTTCTAATTCGTCTGTCACTCAAATAGTATCATGTTTGTTACTGTTTAGTTTTCCTGTTGATTTTGTGAGTGTCACTACGACTGACTGTTAAATTTTCTCTTGCCACAGATAAAATGTTGTCTCCACATGTATGTGTTCTGTTTACGGTTTCACTGACAGTTGCAGTAGTTTGCTAGTGAGTGTGAGCTGGGCTCTGTGGTGACACATCAGTGGGGGGGGGGGGGAGAGTTAGTTCACACTAGTCTCCTGTTTTGGTGGACCCTGTACATAGTGCAGCTTTTCTCCCTCTGCCATCAGTTTGTCATACAAGTTTTCATCTCGATGGGGTTTTTTTTCCTTGAGAACAAAGACAAAATAAGAATTTTTAAGAAGGTTTCAGTTCGATACCCAGATGGCGAGAATTTGTATCTAGTATCTCTGTCTTTCTGCTGGAATGTCGTTTCCCTCTCCCCAGCCCAGGTTGGCCCTGACAGACAGGGTCGGAAGCCCGCCTTCTAAATGATCTAAATTGTTGATGGGGGTGTAAAAACTCCTACATTTTTATTTTTAAAAAGGAAGACGTTACAGACATAAGGTTTGTGATTTTTTTTTTCCGTTAGATGGAGCTGGTTTTTGTGTTTGTCAGAAATAACTTGTCACAAGAGCTGTTCTATGGTGATGGTGGATGCGTTTTGTTTGCATTTTTTTCTACCTGTTGTGCTCAGTCCTGACATTTTTGTTGTGTCTGATCTGATGAATATGTACGAGACTTGATGTTATACTGATGTCAAGGAAGTAGGAGGTGTTCAGATATATGTGGATTATTTTTGTCATGTATAGAATTCTAACTTAAGTTACTGGCCACACTTGTTCAGTTTGGATTCTTTAGTTATTTCCCTTGTTTATCATACCTGGCAAACCATCGAGCCCCTGAGGCAATACAGAACTTCCTGTTCTTTTCTAAAAAAACCAAAATGGCCGCCACGTTCCATCTTATAATTTTCTCTCTTTACACATTTATTACAATAGTTTCACTCTTTTTATGTCTCAAAGAAACTAAACCAAGCTCTTAGATCTACTCTTCTCCTCTTCTTGTCGTTGTATGGGGTTTTAGGTGTTCCCGGTGGCTCTAATACAAGAAAGAAATTCAGTGCCTCGACAGCTAACTTTACAGGGAAATTGTTCGTTTTCAATTGTGTCCTCTGTTCTTTACAGAGTTTTCTGGGTCACAAGGATAGTTTTCCCAAGTACTATGTTCATTACTCAATCACTGTGTGTGAGACCCTAGTGGGGGAAGCTCCCCTGTGCTCAGATTTCAGTGAAAGTATTCAGCCTGCCAAGTCTAGACTTCCATTGATCAGTTCTCTTTTCCCAACCACGTTGTGCCTTTGCAGTAAAGAAATTAAAGGAAAGGAGAATGGGCTGAAGCTACCAGGGTTAAGAAAAGAGTTAGAACAAGGTCTGAGATTTATTACCTTGTGATTGTTATCTCAACTTCCCTGTAGTTTACGGGGGTCCATCCTTCAGTGGAAGTGATACCAGATGGCACATTGCTTGAGGTATCTGGTACCTAATGCTAAGAAGTTTGACCCAGAGTTTATAAGAGCTCTTCACACACATACACAAACTCCAAAATGGATCACATTAATGGTAATAACAAGAAGACAAAACAAAATAAATTAAAATATTTATTCATTATGCAAACTGTTCCAATTTCAGTATAAATTATTCTATTGCTGACATAGAATATTGCACACGAAAGACTGGCAGAACTATATGATAAAAGAAAGCTTCAGACTTCACTCCGAATACTCGTATAAATAGCATTTGTACAGCAATAATAAACTGAGCGGACATAGAAATAAAAGACAAGTAATGGACACAATATTTTGAGCATGGGAAAATATTCCAGAAAATATCCTGAAATAAGTATAATTCTGACTGGAATGTTAATTTGTCTTTGAGAAATTTTGTTGCTTTTCTGTACTGAGTCCAAGAAAGATTTGTGTGTGTTTTGAAAGAAATACCACAGACACTTGACAAGTTTGCTACTGTAAGACTTTCTGCCTCGCTGACATCTGCCTGCTTTTCTGATGGTTTTTAAATCTGTGATGTGTTGTATTTTACCTGAATCTTTATCCCCTCAAATCAAAGTCCTAATTTTAGCTAGTTTGTTTGACCTTTACTTCTTAAATGGCGACCTAGCAAGTAGTGATTTTGTACGAGGCTTTACTAAGTTTAGTGTGTGAAGCACAATGGTTGTCCCCTTGTTCGGAAAACTAACATATCACCATCCTCTGTATTAATTTTACGCTTTGTAAGACGTGAATAAATGGCCTGCTCACTGTCTAGTAGTTCAAGTACAGATTTCTCCAGTAAATTACATTCTGTCATAAATTCAAGCAAAACCAATGCGTTGCTTTTCAAGGGTGATGTACTTGCATCTACATATAATGGTGAAACTACATATTCAACTGAAACAGATGTGTTGATCTTGAAAGGAGAAATACTTGCGTCCACATTTCATTTTTGTTATGTGGGGTACTAGTTAACAAAAAGTCATAACCAGGAGCTGTTGAACTTGAATGAAAAGAAAAGTCCTCTGATTTTGACATTATATCAGTATTAGCTTGGGATGTTGATGTAGATTCACCCAGACAGCAAGAATGGGATACATACTCTTTATATCTTACAGAATGTAAACATGAGATTGCACTTGATTTGTTAAAATTATGAAGCTGTCCAAGTAAAATAGACTCAGCTGATTCAAGTTTTATTTGTTATATCACAGGTGGGGCATGGCACTGAATTTGAAATTGACATTTTTAAAATAGCTGAAAGACACACCGCACAAAAATAGTGGTTACACTTTGTTTTGACAACATGGTGTGTAAAAAAGGACGAAAATAATCTATATTCAAACTTTTCTTTAAAGGATGGTGGCATGCTCCGCAGACTAAAATGACATTTTTCTTGTT